CAGCGATCTATTGCGACTTGAAACCAAGTTTGATGATGAAGATAAGGCAATGTTTTTGTTGTGCTCACTTCCTACTTCATACGATCATCTTGTGATCACTTTGACGTGGGGTAAAGAGACTCTTGAATTGGAGGAAATCACATCAACCCTATTAGCCTACAACCAGCGAAAACTGCATACTGGTAAAACTTTACAGGGTGAAGGGTTGATCGTAAAGAGCTACCAGGATCGTGAGAGAAGGAAGGACAGGAGTGGTTCTTATAGAGGAAACACGAGATCAAAATCTAGGAATCAAAATAAGAAAAACGTCAAGTGCTACAAATGCTATTAGATGGGCCACTTTAAGAGAGTGTCTCAATAAGAAGCAAGGTGATGAAAGGAAAGGTGATGGGTCCTCAAACTCAACTAGTGTTGTAGAAGAAGACTTGGATTCTAGAGATGGAGACACGTTATCAGTCTCTGCAGGTAATTCTAAAAAATTAAATAACTGTTGGGTACTTGATTCAGCCTGTTCATATCACACGTGTCCTCACCGGGATTGGTTTCATTCATATCGTTCTAGTAATTTTGAATTTGTTCTGATGAGTAATGATACATCATGTAAGGTCATTGGAATGTGTTGCGTATGTGGCTCATATAGAGTGGAACACAGGTCCTGGATCAAATGGGCCAATACCGGCGCAAAGTGGAGTGAGAGGAGCGAAGCGCATCGAACGGAACGGGGATACAGTTATAGGTGGAGTTGCTACAGCAGAATCTGAGTCAAATGACACTCTTCTATGGCATATGCGACTATGGCCTATAAGAGAACGAAGCATGGTTGAGCTTCATAAGAGGAATTTGTTGAAGGGGGTAAAATCATGCAAGCTGGATTTCTGCAAGTTCTGTGTACTTGGAAAACAGTCCAGAATACAGTTCAAGATGGAAAAGCACAAGACAGAGAGCATTCTTGATTACGTGCACTCAAATGTTTGAGGATCAGTGAGGAAGATATCTAAAGGTGGATCTCAGTATTTCATTACTTTCATTGATGACTTCTCTAGAAACGTTAGGGTATATTTCATGAAGCACAAGTTTAAAGCCTTTGCCAAGTTCAAATTGTGAAAAGCAGAAGTAAAGAACCAGGCAGGCAGAAAAATTAAGTATTTGATGACAAACAACGGTATATAGAGTACACAGATTCACAGTTTCTGATATTTTGTGAAGAGCATGGTATTCAGTGGCACTATACAGTTCGCAAGACATCGCAGCAAAATGGTGTGGCAAAAAGGATGAACAGAACAATTACAGAATGGGCAAGATGTTTGAGGCTGAATGCAGGGCTCTCGAAGAGTTTTTGGGTAGAAGCAGTGAGCATGGCATGTTATGTCATAAACAGATCACGAGCAGTACTAGATGGGAAAGTTGCAGAGGAAGTTTAGACAGGTAATGATGTTGATTATTCTGAATTGAGAGTATTTGGGTGTCCGACTTATGTGCATGTATCTAGTGATCAGCGTTCCAAACTTGATCCAAAATCAAGAAAATGCATTTTTCTGGGCTATATGAAAGGTGTAAAGGGCTACCAATTCTGGGATCCAGAGGCAAGGAAGATGGTGATAAGTAGGGGATGCAATCTTTGATGAAGCATTCATGTTTAAAGCTTTTCCAGATAAAGAGAAGCTCAATGCAGACGAGGACAGCAGCAAGAGCCAAGTGGTGCAAGTAGAGCTAGACAATGTTAATACAGAAATTAAAGTTCACGGAGCGAATAGTTCTGGGCCAGAGGTGGAGCAGTATCATAGTGTTGCCTTAGATAGACCACGTTGCACTATCAAGCCACCAACAAAATATGGATTCGAGGATTTGATTTCTTATGCACTCATTACCAGCAATAGCGATCCTATAACTTTTTAGGTTGCCATTGGTAGTCAAGAGAAAGGTAAATGGACAGAGGCTATAACGGAGGAAATTGAGTCACTGCATAAAAATGATACATGAGATTTCGTGGAGCTTCTAGAGGGGAAGAAACAAATAGGGTGTAAGTGGGTATATAGAAAGAAAGAAGCAATGTCAGAAAAGGAAAGAGAAAGATACAAGGTTCGATTAGTAGCAAAGGGATACTCACAGAGGAAAGGAGTAGATTATGATGAAATTTTCTCCTCAGTCGTCAGACACACCTCCATCAGGATTGTTTTGGCAATGATGGCTAATTTTGATGTAGAGTTAGAGCAGCTAGATGTGAAGACTGCTTTCCTTCATGGTGATTTGGAGGAACAAATTTTTATGGAGCAGCCAGAAGGGTTTTTGGAACCAAGAACAGAAAATCTTGTATGTAAACTAAAGAAGTCTTTATACGGGTTTAAGCAATCTCCACAGCAATGGTACAAGTTCGACTCTCATATGATTCAGATTGGCTACAGTCGTTGTGAGTATGATTGTTGCATTTACTACAAAGTTCTCGAGGATAACTCATATTTTCTTGATGTATGTGGACGACATGCTAATTGCTGTTAAAAGCATGAACGAGGTAGATAGATTGAAATCTTTGTTGAGAAAGTTTGATATGAAAGACTTAGGACCTCCTAAGAAAATTCTTAGCATGAAGATCAACAAAGATAGGAAAGCCAAAAAATTATTGGTGTCTCAGAAAAATTATTTGAAGAAAGTGTTAAATAGCTTTAGCATGTCATATGCAAAACCAGTTGCTACACCATTGGCGAATCACTTTAGATTGTCTAATAACTAGTGCCCAAAGAATGAAGAAGTTGCAGAGATGTCAAAGGTACCTTATGCCAGCGCAGTTGGATGTTTGATGTATGCAATGGTGTGTACTAGATCAGATCTAGCACATGCAGTCAGTGTGGTTAGTAAGTATATGGCTAATTTTGGTATAGAGCATTAGAGAGCTGTAAAGTGAATTTTCAGGTATTTGAAAGGTACAATGGAGTGCGGGATCATGTTTGAGAGACAACATTGTGATATTTCAGTTCAAAGATACGTAGATGCAGATTATGCAGGTGACTTGGATGACAAAAGGTCCCATATAGGTTATATTTTCACACTCGCAGGTGGGCCCATATGTTGGAGATCAATGGTGCAGTCACTTGTGGCATTATCTACAACTGAAACAGAGTACATGGCGACAACTGAGGCAGCTAAGGAATTATTGTGGTTGAAAGGGCTTGTCGGGGAACTTGGGATCAAGCAAGATGGAATGAAGTTGTACTGTCATAGTCAGAGCACCATTTTCCTAGGGAAGAATCGGATTTATCATGCAAGAACCAAGCACATTGATATGAGATTTCATAAGATAAGAGGGTTGGTTACTTCAGGAGAGCTGTCATTAGAGAAGGTGCATACCTCAGAGAATGCAGCAGACATGATGACAAAACCAATCACAATAGATAGGTTCAATTATTGCTTGAACTTGATTAATATCTCTAGGTGTTAGAGAAGATGTATCACAACCCATTGGTTTTAGATGGTGTGATTTTCCAGGTTATGTTTTTCTCCTGAAGGGTAAATATTCGCCAAGGTGGAGATTATTGTGCATGTGGCTTATATAGAGTGGAACACAGGTCCTGAATCAAATAAGCCGATGTCGGAGCGAAGCGGAGCAGAGCGATGGCATCGGCCTTGCGCGGGTTTAATTCACTGCCTGGTTAAGGACGCTGAATGGGTTGGAGGTGCGAGGGCAACGCGAGGCAGTACAATACAGGGGTATTTCTTGTACGGGCTTTAAAAGTCTTATATGGGCTCAGGCTAGGGTTAATATAAATAATATGTTGTGTCACTATTTTTGACTACTGAATAAAATTATCTACGCTTCGCTCTCGTGGACGTAGACATAACGCCGAACCACGTAAAATTCGTATGTTGATTTTTCTTTTTCATCTCTTTATTATTGCGTATAAAATCTAACACTACTCTATATCGAAAGTTAGTTGATAGTCTCGTCTATCTCACTATCATATGTCCGGATATCTCCTTTGCATTTCACACTATCAGCAAATTTACGAATGCCCCTCGTCATCTTCACTCGGCAGCTGTCCGTCGCATTTCCTCCGGGGACGACTCTTAAGCTCATTGCTTATAGCAACGCTGATAGGGCTGTGTCCTGATTCTCGTCGATCTATTATTGTATGGTGTATCTTTTTTTGGTGATGCTCTCATTTCTTGGAAGTGTAAGAAACAGGATTGTGTTTCCAAGTCCACTAAAGTTGAATACCGAACTGTCTGCTACATGTTCAGAGGTAATGTGGTTGCGCGGTCTTCTTGCAGAACTTGATTTTTCCCAATCACATCCGACACCTTTCCATGGTGATAACACTAGTGCTATTCAAGTTGCGACTCATTCTATGTACCACGAACTCACCAAACACATCAAAATGGACAGTTATTACACTTGGGATGCCTATGATTCCAAAGTCAGCACTCTTCCTCATGTTTACACTAGTCAACATGCTGCATATATCTTCATCAAATCTTTAACTCGCCTCCATCATAAATTTATTGCAAGCAAGCTGATGCTTGTGGACTCACCAACATCAATTTGAGGGGTTTTAGAGAGGGCGTGATTTAGCGTAATTTACAGGGTTCCTTATATAAATTAGTTTCCTCTTGTACAGCTAGGGTTTCCTTGTATATATTTGTTAATCTCTGCATATATGAAACAAGACAGAAGGAAGAATTATCCAGCAAAATTGATAAAGGAAACTGGAAGTTGGTGTTCAGAAAATATCCCTTAAATATAAATCTAAATGGAAATGCTCTCATAATGATGCCTTCTTTAAATATGAAAGTCACGGTGTCATTCTAAAGGGGATTTCAAACAAAATCTGAAGCCTTCTAAAGCAGTAAGTTATACATATACAGCAGCAAAACACCAGGACTGTACATAGAGATGAATGTCAAGAATATATACTATCATCAATAGCACATTGAGAAGCACCAATTAAGCAGAATGCACAAATTAAAACCAAAAAAGATTAAAAGAAATTATTAATACGAGACAATACCTCTTTATCACCCCCCTTTGTCCCAAATATACCTTTCTTTCGTTTCTGCGGTTCACCAACCTGGCAATCAAATTGACTAATTACTCTTAGGAAATCAAGGTTTTGGTTTGCGCTTACATGATAACTATTCAAGGAAATGATTTGTTAGAATTGATAACAAAACAACAGAGCACCAGGCAATTATTAGTCTCAGAAAGTTCATAAACTATGAACTATTAACCAGAATATCTGATAAAAGCTATTTAACAAGGAAATTACAAGACACGACAACCCTTGGTACCTTTCACTTTAACTGAATATCCTCCTATGGCTTGTCTATTGACTGAAGACCAACAACTTTAATGTTCAAAGAAAGGGATAGGGCTAAATAATGACGAAATATGCATGGAGACAAGAAAGGGGAAATGATCCATACCATTCTGTATTAATTGATTTTCCAACCTTCATGATTAATCAAACAGACAACAAGTCCAATCAAAGTAGCTTTAAATTCAAGTTAAATCTAACAAATGATATTATAATTTCCATCTGAACTGATCAAAGACAAATTCAAGATAACCTCTAAGTTAAAACTTAGCCATGTGGGCACATGTTTTATATCTTTCCATACTCTCAAATGGCTGAGACAAAGAAAGATATAACATTTATCTATACCCAATGATCATCGAATCCCAAATGCTGAGAACAAACAAGTGTTCAAAAGTTCTATATGCATCACTTCCATAATTCAAAATATTGCCTCCATAGATGGAAAAAGGATTTTTTCTCAAACACACCTTCTCCAGAATGCTGAACACAATTTCATACAACCTGGGCAGAATTTCTGAGGTGCTAGAAGGTGCATAAGTGAGAGCCTTTAATGCTTGTAGTCTCCGCGCATGAACTTCAAAAGAATAGAAAGAGAAGCAATTATTGATTTTCAGTTTTAGCAAGAAGGCACACTTGAAGTCCAAAATATTATAGACAAGAAAGGTAACTTCCTTAAAACAAATCCTAAATTTTAAAGCCTCTGTTTGTTTCCCATTTTTTCTTCATTAAAATGAAAAATATGACCATTAGTCATCACATCAAGTCACCAAATTTGAGTTTCTATCTCTTGTGTGAGACTCAAAACGGTTATATTTTTCATTCTCATTTTTATATTAATGTTTACCAAACGGGGCCAAAATGTATTCCATCCCATTATATTCTCCACAGAAAAGAAAAGAAATACAAAACACATAGTTCTAATGTTTCTTGTGGAAAATGTGTTCCCTAATACAAAACGGTTATATTTTTCATTCTCATTTTTATATTAATGTTTACCAAACGGGGCTAAAATGTATTCCATCCCATTATATTCTCCACAGAAAAGAAAAGAAATACAAAACACATAGTTCTAATGTTTCTTGTGGAAAATGTGTTCCCTCGTGCAGTAGAATATTGAACCATCCAAGTATACATACATGGCCAGTAATGACATCAATGATGGCTGTATTACGAACCCCTTCATATCACCCAAGAAGCGACGAATTTGTCAGATGAGTCATGCTGATCAGCCTCAAATGTCAATTCTTTCCATGACACAGTTGATGGTGTTTTCATTTCAATGCTTTCATTTTTAGTTTTTTATTTTTGTCTTCGAGATTGAAAGGAAAATAATTTACGGATCGGTCAAACGATGATAATGCAATTGTTAAACAAGGGAAATGACTTTATCACTTACATTCAACTTCTTCATTTAAAGCCTCTGAAGTTAACCGCTCTACAATTCTAGGAACAACATCAGCTCTGGTCACCCCTCCTACAGCATCGATATCTGCCAAAGCATCCCAATTAGGAGTAGGTATCCCACCTCCCGGGCTTAAACCTTGTGAACCAGTGTCGGATAGAATTCTGGCTAAGTAATAATAAACATAACGTAGTACAGTCCTATCCTCACACTGCTGGTCAAGCTAGAGAATAAAAAAGGAAAAAAGGAATAAGTGACATTTAATTGTAACAAAACTTTTAGTATTGATAACATAACATGAGATGTGGAAAAAAAAAAAATCACATCATAAGATCATTAGGTAACTTGTAAAGAATTATAGTAATCATTGAAATCCACAAAAAAATTTAAATGTTAAACGGAAAAAAGTAGATGTATAACGAAAAATAACTGTAAGGCATTTAGATTTTTCTGTAGAATATTCTTCCAGCTAAAATATTTCAGAAGCATAAGGGAATTCAACTGGCAGTCAAAGTACAAGCCTAGGTTCTAAGGTGAACACCCAAAAAGCCAAGGTAGAGTGCCATCACCCAGGCAACCATGGTCTGGCGTATATTATTTCCTCCAATTTGTTCACTGAACTCCATATTCCTATGACACTATAGAATAAATATGATAGTAAATACTTAAGTATGCTTATATTTGCACTTATATTAGTTGAAATCATTAGTCTTACATATATGGAAAGAAAAGAGAGTTATATTAAGGTAAGAATATGATAGTGGCATCAAAGTGAGAGATAGGAGGCGATTAAACGTACAAGCACCTTCTACATTTTTCATGTTCTATTTCTTCAGTTATTGCATTTTTCATACGAAACTGACTCACGTGACTGCCTAGTTTGCCTGGGCAAAGGATTAGGCCCATCCCAGTTTGCCAGTTATGTAATCACTTTCATTATCAAGTGTATTTCTCTAATGCAATCTCATTAGAGAAAGTTAGAATAGGGATAGACTAATCCACTAAATCTAACTTGGCAAATTGTGGTTGCCAGGGATCTAGTTACCTATGATCTGCTGGTAGATCTAGCAATAAACAAACAAAATAGCAGAAAAGAACTCATGTTTCTGACCCTAAATTTATTAGCAACAAGGGTTAGTACGTTGTTGTTCTTGATTATCATCCAAACAATGAAACAATAATTTATTGAGGAATATGTTTCTTCAACATAGAAGTAAAGGCCCATGTCCCAACCAATCAGTCTTCTTAGGTCCTAGAGCTAGAAAATATCAACTATTATTATTTTCTCAACTTCTAATCCATTTCTCAATGGTAATTCCATCAAACAGGTTGAGATAAACCATTTTTCGGTGTTAATAAAATTGGTAATTATAATGCTTGTGGTATATCTCAATCAATAAACAAGAAGAAAACGACACACAAAGGACATGAATTCATCTCTTTATATAAAAATTCTATAATCCGGGCACAAAAACCATCACAGTGATACAAATAGTTAGCCAAAAATGCAGCCAACCTTTACTAATTTTCAAATTTTATTTTAGAGGGCCTCATGTGTATTGCAGTTAATTTTTAACAAGTACTAATGCGCAGACTCCTTAATTTGGGTTGCTAGTATGAGAGGATTAGGAAATGAAGTATCATATCCTGGCTTAATTGTTGAGATGTAACAATGGACACGGATTAAAAGTGACATAAACTACACATAGATTGATCCCCTCAAAGATACCAATCCAAATGAACAAAAAGTTTCAACTCTAGCATATTGAAAATGTAAACAAATTTTACACAAATAAAATAGATTGTAGCTAGTAGCTGGAAAAAAATAAAAAAAGATGAACAATTTTAAGTTATCAAAAAATATATACAGAAGATAAATAAAACTCTAATTATGTAGCCAAAAATTCATCATAAATATCTTGAGTCTAACCAGAAATTTTCATCATATCACATCCAGTATGTTTTGGGAATGTTTCTCAAATCTCATACAACTCCTAATTAACCATTTAACGCCAAATTACTTATTAAACTGAAAATTGACTGCAAAGCAGCAGGTAAGAGCTTGAGTCTATCAACTGGTATTTGTAACATTAAAGTGGCCATTCCATGCATGCTAAAGCTATGTATGTTATCTATAGCAACAATTAGTAAGAAAAGATGATTTGGCATGTACCATGAGAAGTGATGGAGCCAAGGATGGGTCAACAGAATTATAAACAGCAAGCTTTGGAAATACATGATGCACCAATTGCCTTTGGGAACTTTTCTGCAGACACACACAATAAAGTGGAATGCTTAAAAATTAATTAAAAAGGCTAAAGCAACAGTATAGAAAATGAATAGTAAGGTACCTGATCCGAAGTGGCCGCTAGCTCGTGAATACTCCTCGCAAGTTGGGCATAAGACACCGGCTACAAAATTTTATTTAAAAAATAAAAAAACTAAGCCAAATTGAGGCATTTGTATTGAAAATGACATCATCCTTTCTGATCCTGAAAATATATTTTGACAACCAAAAGGGAAAATAAACTAGTAGAATGCTAGAATCCAACATAAAGCACTAAATTATTAAGAAGAAAATGTAACTAGGTTTTAGAACTGGAGAATCTCAGAACGGGGGGAATTTAGACCAATCATATGATAGTGAAAAAATTATCACTGACCTACTAAAAATATCTTCATGCCAGCTAAAATAAAACTACAAATTCGTGATAGTTCAAATTCACTGAAATTCAGATATCAAAGAGTATAAATACCAACTAAAACGCAATTAGGCAACTCAAGACAAATACCCTTGTTATAATTCATCAGGAAAATAAAAAAGAAGCACCTTTTTCTTTTGCTTTTGGGGCATGATGTTGGTCCGGACTGGGTTGAAAGCCGCCTTGGCAGCAGAGATAGTGTCGCTCTGGATCTGCATAAGAGTCCCCCTCTTCGACTTCCTGTCAACCACCACCGGCACGGGAGCACCCACTGAAGCATTCGTCGGCGACTCAGGAGGCGGAGCCGCCGTCGATGAGGACGAAGAGGACTTTGCTGATGAAGGGTCTGACGATATCAGATCCATCAACGTCATCCCCGAAGAGTCCTAAAAGTAATAAATCATCCAAATTTCATCAAAAACATAAATAGAAGGAATGAACGAATGAAATGGAAATGGAAAGAGATATGATGTAACTACCGCCATGGGGAATGATTTTGAGAATTGAGAAAGAGAATTTTGAAGTGATCTGGCTTTTTTCTTCAAATTTGATGAGAGGAAAGAATTTTCTTATAGTTCTTAGTGTGATTTGCTTCTCAATTTTTTTGGAGTTTAATCTGTCATTAGTCGCTGAATTGTGTTATGCTTTATTAGTGAAGTTTAGAGCCTGTTTGATTATCATTAATTGGGAAAAAAAATGAGATTTTAATAGTACTTTTGGGATAATTTGTGATTAAAATTTAGGGAAATTTTTTTATACACGTGTAGAATATTTTATTGTATGAATATGTTATTAAAAATAATAATTTAGCTAACCATAAAATAAATTAATTTGTATCAAAGTAAAACTTAAAAGATTTTCGAACTATGTTTTTGAATGATATTGTTACATTTCTTTACTTATTCATCATGTCTCACAAGTTAATAGATTTTAAAATACTTTTTGAGTAATCACTAAACTTTAATACGTCACGCTCCATGACTTATTCGATGTAATTCATTAGTAACTAAACTTATACATTCATAATATTTTACTCACAGAAACTTAAAATGCTTTTGAATGGTAATGAATAATACTATGTAAAGTTGATTATATGGTAATGAATAATGCTAGTTCAAATTGACATATGTCTTAATTTAGATCGTAATCTTCATTGTGATTGAAATTGTAGACTCAAATCAAAAAAGAAAAAATTATATATCAAACAGACAGTAAAATTTTCGATTTATAATCAATAATATTAATCAAGACTAACAAAATATAGTTTTTAGAGTTGTCACAAGATAATTCGAGAGGGAAAAATGTGTTATCTTCGTGTATGGTATTTTACGCTTCAAGATTTTCAAATTTTAAACAATTGAATTCAGTGTGTAAAGTTCAGTGATCAATCAAAAGCATTTTAAAGTTTAGTGAGTAAAGTGTGACTGATGTATAAGTTCAATGAGTAAAACATCGTAAATGACTGATAGAATGCAACATATTAAAATTTAGAAATCATTAAGAAGTATTTTAACGTTCGGTGATCAAAAAAATATGGTGAGTTAGTGAAACAATGTAACGTATTAAAGTTCAGCGATCATTCAAAGATATTTTGAAGTTTAGTGAGTACTACGTGACGAATGTATAATTTTATAACTAATGAAACATTTAATACCAATTTTTAATTAAAGCAATTTTCTTAAGTAAAGAGTTTTAAGATATTTATGATGAAATTGCCTTAATTTCAAGGACTTATTAATCTTCAATTGGCCGAAATGAATTTATAGACTCGCGGATTTATCGACATCCAGTTCGTAAAAAGAACAAAATTCTTGTTGTCGATTATGATAATGTATAATAAAAAAATGAAATTATGAAAAACGTTTTTTCTTTTTTATACTCTTTTTTCTATGGAAATCCTTGTACGGCATTCCGAGTTATAGGTAGATTTAGTTTGAAAAAGATTTGGTCAAAAGTATATTTCGACAATTCAACATAAAGTGAGCAAAAATTTGACAGATAAAGCATGGCAGGTGAGATAAAGCTACAAAGATGGAAGTTGGATTAAAGTATATCTTCGAAAGCTAATTTATTCTTCATTAATAGGTTAAATATCTTTTATTATATATCTTTATGGTATGTTTCATGGATTGAAATTATTAATTCATGGAATTTTTCTTCTTGAGCATTGGAAGCTTTGAACGTTAAGACATTTTTTTTTTTTTTACATCAAAATAAATGAACAGAAGTTGTGCTCATTATGTATTTCAAATGAAAATTTGATCCTAAATCTATTTTGAAATATTCTTTGATTTCTTGTACGCACTAACATGTTCACACTTATAAACATGTGCTTTTCGTGGCTATTTTGTTTAAGTTCTAATAAAAAACTTGTACCAAATTAATCTTCTTTTTTAAACAAATTGTTTCATATATTTAATTAGAGCTGGGTAAAAACCAATCCAAACTACTCAAATCGACAAATCGACTGATTTGGGTTGGTTTTCAAGTCCAAATTTGAGTTGGGTTAGGTTGGGTTGGAAAATTAAAAATTGAGGTCAGGTTGGATTGAATCTCGGGTTATAAATTAAAACCCAACTCGATGAATTAAAAAATTTAATACCTAAAATGAAAAAAAAAATGTACATGGACACAATAGTGTATATAAGAGAAAGATTTAGAATGTACAAATGTTCCCCCTCTTTTTTACATAGGCCGGTTGGTATGCCTAAAATATACAAATGCAAAATAATATAACGATAAACTAAAAATAAGGACGTGATAATTAAATGAATAAATTCCAAAAAAGAATAAAAAGAAAATGCTCTTTAATTTCAAACTTATTTATAAATTAACTTTCAAAAAGAATTCTTTATATAGATTAAAAATAACGGAGATTTTCAAATGGTTCCAAACTTTAAAAATTATTCAAATTCAATAAAAAATTGGATCTAACTTGAATTGAGCTCAAGCCCAAACCGACTAACCCAAACTTGATCAGTTTGGGTTGGTTTGGATTTTAAACTAATAAGAGAAAAAATCATAATTCAGGTGTATTATTTACACTAATTCAAAAATCAGATAGATAGTATGAAATTCAAAATTCAAGTATCATCTAATTAAATAAATATAATAAACTCACAGTTATACGATTAATGATCATATATTCATAATTGTAGGTCACAAATTTATTTACTGATAACATATCATCAAATTAATAAGTCACAAATTATTTCGAGATCACAAATCAAAAATTTTGTAGGTCGGAGATTATTTCGAAGTTACAAATCAAAAAATTTATAGGTTACAGTTTATTTTATTAGTCACAGATCAAAAAAATTACAAGTCACAATTTATCTATGGGTCACATATTTTCCAATTTATTGGTCATAAATTTCAAATATTTGGTCACATGCACCAACACCCCCGCCACCAGTCCCAATCCAGTACTAATCTTGGTCACAAATCACCACCTCGCAATCGCCGCTTGCACTACCCGCACCGCAACCACCACACCATCGCTTGCACTGTACCAACACCTCACAAGTGTTGCTTGCACAAAAACGACCACCACTTCACAATCGTCGCTTGTACAACACCATCACAACCACCACCAACAACAACAAAAACGACACAAACACACCACCAACACCACCCTCTGCTACAAGCCAAATTCAATAAAACCCAAAAACTGCCAAATCCAGCACCACAAAACCACCACCATGCAAAACACCAGCATTGCCAATTACCACAACTTGCCTTTACACCAGCAATCAACACAAACCACCAACTTTCACCACCACCACCACCACAGCTACCAATAAGCCATCACAATAAATTTAATCGAAAAATCACCAACAAAACCACCACCACACCTTATCTTCTCCACCCCGATCTGCAACGTCAACCACTTCCCTATCGTTGGAGCTTTATGTCAGCACTAAGTCGCTGGACTGATGATGGAGAGAAAGGAGAGGAGAGAGTGAAGAGACCAACACCAACTTGCCTTCATCTTACACCGCCACCACACCTTATCTTCTTTGCCCCGATCTGCAGCGCCATCACCTGTCCATCAATGGAGCTTCATGTCGGTGCTGGCGACGTCAGAGAGCATGGAGAAGAGGAGGAGAGAGTGAAGAGACAAACACCAACCTTCATCCACCTTACACCACCACCACACCTTATCTTCTCTGCCCCATTCCGTAGTGCCGTCGCTTGTCCATTGTCAAAGCTTTATGTTGACTGGCAACATCAGACAGCATGGTGAAGGGGAGGAGAGAGTAAAGAGAAAAGAGAGAGAAATTTAGGTTTTGAAAGGGATTGGGGATAAATTGGGTGAGATTGATTAATATAATATTATTATTAATATTAAAATATATAATTATTACCTGATTTCTAATTAATTAAAGTTTGTATATGACTTTTGAAAAGAGATCTTCAAACATCGGTTACTGTGTAATTTTCACAACTAATAATTGAGTTTAGTTGTTATATAGGTAGGACGCACCTACTATAAGGGTTGGAAGGGGTTACTTGGTAAAACAACACAATTCTTTGATTTTAGATCATATCAAAAATGTTGGGTTAGGTTTGGGTTGAATAAAAAACCAACTTTGCCCAAACCCATGCCTATCCCTATACTTGAGCACCACTGTCTCCATTACTAGGTGGATTTTTTAGGAAATGTAAGTTTTTTCCTGATACAAGTAATTTGCTTTTCATTTCTTTTGAAGGTTCTACCCTTGACAACTTGGAGATACAGGGAATAAGTTCGTAAAGAGTGTCTATTAAGCTTTCCAGCAAGTTTTCTTTAATATTCATTCATGATTAAACAATTGTGTATTGACACTTTTTTACAAAGTTTAGATGTGAGACAAGCTAACTTTATTTGTTTATATTCTACGCATATGTCTCTTGTCAAGTCAACCCTTAACGTACAATATAATAACGTTACCTTAAAAATAACATGCATGGGCAGAAGACTAGTTCTTATAAAAAATGGGCAAGCTTTTCAACTAGATTTTTATCGTTGTATGTGTTCAAATACATTACCTCTTTCTAGAAAGTAAAATAATTCATTCATTTTAACAATAGATAAAAATTGCTCTCAAATATTTATCTTATGTTCTAGGTTGAAAAAGTTCTATCTTAGAGTTATGATGGCAACTCATAAATTATTCTGGAAAAGAATCACTATAAATTAAGGTGCGTTCGGTTTGTTATTTTCAAACAGTTTTCAGTTTTACAAAACACTTAAAATAAAACAAAAAACATGTTCAGTAATATCTGAAAACACATTTTCAAAAATAATGATAAACGTTTAACATAAAACTCAAAGCACATTTTTGACGTTTGAGCATTTTCAATTAAAATTTTGAAAATACTCAAAATATAAAAAACATGCGTTTAAATAAAATATTAAAAAGTAAAAATACAAAAATTTAACCAATAAAACTTAATTTATTTTTTTAAATAAAATAAAGAATTAATCTAGTGGTACATAATGGGGTGCATCGAAAGATGGACACCCCACTTACATGGGGTGTGGGGTCCACCTGAATAAGTATTTTTTTTATTCGAGTGTATCTCACACCCATGTGAGAGGGGTATCCACATTTAGGTACACTCCTATGTATCACTAGTACCACCGTAAA